GGTTGTCTACCGCTGACGAAGCTTCTGTGAGAGAAGCGAAACGTCCTTTTTTGTTTTTTTTGTTTTTTTGTTTTTTGTTTTTTACCCACAGGTACAGATGACGACTGACAGAACCCTTTCTACGATGGAACTTTCCTGTACGACTGAGAGCCTCCACAAGCAAAAATATAAAACTGAAATGAATAAATAAGGAAATCATGAAAATAGACAAAATTATTATAAATTAAAACAGAATTAAAATGAGCTATATTGCCAAAAACAAATACAAAAATAAAATAGATCAAATTAATGTATACCAACAAAACAAGTACGATTAAAAAAAACTAAACTAGACAATTTAAAAAAATGATTAATCAAACTGAAAAAGAAACACACCAAATAAAAATGAGTACAAATTAAGTACGCATTGTACATAACTATTTTAAAAAATGCAAATTAAAAAAAAAGATGTAACATTAGGGACATAGTGTAATGGCTCACAAAGAGTCACATAATAATAATAATAATAATACTTCCGGTAATAATAATAATAATAATGATAATAATAATAATAATAATAATACCGTATTGGCCCGAATATAAGACGGTGTTTTTTGCATTGAAATAAGACTGAAAAAGTGGGGTCGTCTTATTTTCGGGGTCTAGACATTACACCCATTCACGATGCTAGATGGTGCCAGATATCAATGAAGCGAATGCTGAACTTGACTCCCCAGGCCAAAGTGAACCCTTGCCACGAAGAACAAAAATAAAAATAGCGGTAGCACGAAGAAGAAAAATAAAAAAATAGCGGTAAGAAGGAAAATAGAAGAAAATAATAGAAGAGATAACAGAAAATGGAGAAACGTAGTGACAATCTGGAGAAAAGTGGGTTGAAGATCGGCCAGGTTAACTGGCAGCTGAGGAGAAGTTATGATGTAATTTACATTTCAAAAACCAGAAGCCATTCATTTACGAATGTGATTGCACTTTAGATTTGAATGAGGCAAAATAACATGCTTTTTCTCTCAAATATATTGTTATAATAATTTGTTTCAGATGTACTGTAATTATTTTCTGTATAAAAATTAATTTGGTGTTCAAAAAGTCTTTTTTCAAACTTGAGTCTTGAAAAAGAGGGGGTCGTCTTATAATCAGGGCCGTCTTATATTCGGGCCAATACGGTAATAAAGTGCTTCACGGACTCCCTCACTCACCTTGATGAATGAGTCAAAAGCTAAAGACAGCTTTGCTCAGCATTCAGGAGCTCACCTCGGGTTTTTCCACATTGGCACACACCTTGCTTCCTAACTTATTTATCACTACAGCAAACAAGAGCGCGTCACGGGTGGCTGTCATCAATCAATGAATCAATCACACGTAATGTGACTCATCCAAGGGGTACTAAACTTGCATTTGAGGTCCAAAGTCAACAGATTGTTGGTTGAGATCATACAGCACATATGAATCGGTGTGTCTAACCTCAGTGACATTGTTAGCTTAATTAACCAATGCTATCAGCGATGAGCATAATAAGAAATAAAAGAAATATTTTTTTCAGAATATTTTTGAGCATTCTGCCAAACAGTGCGGCGAAGCCAATACAAACAAATGTCACACATTCAGCAGCGGCTTATGGATAAAAAGCATCAAAATAAATAAGGATCATGCGCTACTCTTAAAATGGAGATACTACAGTTATAAAAAATATTTGCTTTGCATATTTGTCTCCGTGCTTTTGCATCGTGGCATCATCTTTAAACCCTGACTGACACCAATCAACATTAGACCATTATACCTGATCCACTGAGACCCATAGTGGGCTGACTCCATTTGCTTCACTTATCAGAGGGAGTTGGCCCCATTGCTGCTCTGATGAACCAGGAAGTGCTGAGCACATCACTGGACTGCCCCCTAGTTCTCCAAATTGGAACTCAACTTTGATTGAGACAAGCATTCCTTTAAAACACAATTTTTTTTCCTGTTTCTGCACTTAAAAATGATAAAATTGGAGTTAGCCCACGCAAGTACTGTCTCAATTGATAATAATCTGCACATTTGAAGTCTCTCTACTGAAGAAGTTAGAGCTATCTAAAGTTGTTTACTGATTTAATTTTCGGAAGTGGTGATTTTGCATTCGTAATAAAAGAGGGCAGTACACCACCCCGTCCATCAGGTAGAGCTGTGGTGAAAAAAGTGCCATATCCATAGTGATGTGATTTGATTTTTTATTTTATTATTATTATTATTTTTTAAAGTGCCATTTTTTTAACTTCTTACTTTCTATTCCTGACAGGTCTTCCGGTCCTTTCGTTGATGTTATGTTATCACAAATACTGGATTCTGTCTAGCAACAAGTGACATCATGGGAAATACTCATTTTATCAATCCTCGCCACCGGGCATGTATGCTCACTTGTAAATACTGTATCTACTGTATTTTTGGATTATAAATCGGACCAGTCAAAAAAAGACATCATTTAGGAGGAAAAAAAAGAAAAGAACAAAATGTGGCGGAAACTATTTCGACAAGACCAAGAACAATAGAGCGCACACTCACACCCAAAATCCCCGTTCCCTTATCCCAGGTGCGTTTGGTAATCTACTGTAAGAACACTCTGCTTCACTCCGATCATTCGGAAACTCAGAGCATTGTTCCAATGTGCCGTGTGGTTATTCAGAGTGCCACAATAAAGAAGTGCCGGAACGCAGTGGGTCAGCCTGTAGCCAGTAGCACGAGCTGCTGCTTGATTTATCATTATCACGCTGCCTCTCTGAACACACATACAGTATTTTCATAGTGGTGTCAAGGCGTCAGAGTGAATTCCTGAACGCCCCCCGTGTCGACAGGAGCAAATGAGCTCCGCTTTGATGAAACGTTCCTTTTCTTCTTCTACTTTCTTTTGATGGGTTGCTGCATTACCGCCATCTCTTTCATATGCTAGAAGGAGGTTGGCCACAGACGTGACACGACAGATGCATACCTACTTTTTCTTTTCTACTTATTCATTTTCTTCTTTGACTCTTTTGGCGGATGGCAAATACTTGAAGTGCATTACCGCCAGTTGAAAGAAGGCATTGATAATGCACAGAAAGTCTACATGATTAGGGAACGGGGAATTTGGGTCCCAGCTCTAATTTTGGCACATACAAGTCGCAACTGAGTATAAAATCGCAGAACCAGCAACAACGTGAAAAAAGTGTGTCCCAAGCCCCCAACACACACACACACACACACACACACACACACACACACACACACACACACACACACACACACACACACACACACACACACACACGCACATACGCACACACACACACACACACACATATTTTATATATATTGTATACAGAAAGAGAGAGTGAGGGAGACGACGGCAAGCAAAGCATCAAGATTTAAAGTGCTTTTTTTTTCTAAAAGGATTGATCTCGAATGCTAGTATAAAGATAATGGGTTTGTTTCAATATTCTTCATAAGGTTACCGTATAAAGTCATGATCTCTTGGAAAAATAGAAAAATGCAATCCGTTTGTGGCAAAAGAAAAGGTCATTTGAGAACATTGTGATTGAAACATTTTGGCGGGGGTGAGTATTGTGAACCTGGCAGCATTACAAAATCCACATTTGGGAATAAGACTGATCCTATTTGATACATAATACATGTATATGTTCTTTGATCCTCCTGACAAGTCACGGATAAACACAAATGCACTCACACAGGCATACATACAGTATATTCACACTGCTAGGAGTACCCTCTAAAACATGCATTCACTCAAGGCTAAAAATAGACTTAACAGATGCATAATTCACTCCTGATAAGGTCCAGCAGTGCAAAGGAAACTATAATATTTTCATATATTTGTCTTATTTTATATACTGTACATTTAAAAATATGTTGTTTTTTTAATCTGTATTTTTATATTTCAGCACAAATTTAGCTTTTCGATGGGAGCCGGGGGGGTGGTGGGATTTGGGGCCATAGTTAGTACATCACACACCAGGTGATGGTTTTGTAGAAAACATGTGTGTAAAGTCAAAAAAATAAATCAAGACAGCAGTACCATATTTCCTCATGTAGTGGCCGTGATTGTGTGAGGCCTCCTTTGTCAAGTGAAATTAGGAGCGCAAATCCAAAGAAAAATGACTACAATGGAAACATAGCAAACGAGGAAGATTGGGCCAAAGTATGTTGCGGAGCTCCCCGGAACACAACAATGTGGAACAACCACATGTCTTCTGCATTGCTAAATGTGCTAAAGGCACTTTCTCCATCCAACAAAACAGCAATTAGACTAAGCAGCACTATCAGGATGCGTAAACATTAATGCATGGAGCAACCACACATAGGAGTGGTTGTCGTTAAAACGTCTTTGTTAGGAAAGCGCAAGGAATTTACAACACCCGGTAGAACTTCACACTTCAAATCAACTGTGAGACTGACTGGTTGGAAAATTGCTGATGTTTTGGTTATTTAAAAAAAATAAAAAATAAAATAAAACAAGATTGATAGTACACTTTTCAATGAGTTTGTGAGGAGCCACATATACATGGAGCCATGAATTCCGATTAGAATTTTCCCAAATGCCCAAACAGAATGAGAATGCTCCATATTAACAGCACAACTGAAAGAAAAAAAAAAACAAAACAGCAAATCTGAATGAAATTTAATTTGGATTCAGAGTGTTGGTATATTCCTTTTGCCATTCCGAGCGGAAGCAACTCATTCTGACGAGACGAGCTGCGCATGCTCTATCTTGACGTCAATGTGCAGGGATGTCCCCATACATGCACTTAAAAGTGTCAGCATCTTACTGGAACACATCTGAGATGGGACCACTTGTTTTAAACCACTTGTAGATTTTTTTTTTTTTTTTTAATCAAGCTTGCTTAAAAGAAGTTATTGAATTTACCACAACTACTGTGCGGAATAAACAAATTAACTCCATATTGATAAATCACGTGATGTTGACGTCGATCTCTTCGTGTCACACAGTGCAACACAGCTGATCTGATTTACGTAGCAAACCATGTAAGCGGCTCATAAGAATAGATCAAGTAAAATGTTAAGAGGCCCAGAAATCTTCGTTCGGAATGATTTCAATTAAAATGACGATAAAGTCGGCACGTAAAGCCTGCTTATTTGAGGGAGGCGCTGACTGCAACTGTTTGGGGCATGGCTTGTTATAGTAGGGGGGCACTATATGAGGAAATATGGTAATGATGAAAAAAAAGAAAGAATAACAATAATCGGCAATTATGACAGCGCCAGCTGGTGGTCACCTCCAGCACTGCATATTTCCATTGATTTTTGAGTCATGTATTTGACACGCAGTCCTTTGACATGACAAAATGGGAAGAGGAAGATGGAGGCTTGTTCCAGCAGGTGAGGACGAAGCTACAAAGGCGGCTGATCAGCTGCATACAGATGCAGAGAGAGAGAGAGTGAGAGAGAGAGAGAGAGAGAGAGAGAGAGAGAGAGAGAGAGAGAGAGAGGTTGGAACAAAAGAGCATCAGTGAGAGACATCAGAGTGAAGCAAAACACAGATGGCAGAGAAGAAGAGACGCGACCGAATGAGCTCACTTTGCCAGAGGGAACGTGTCAACTGTCGTGCATTTGCCGGGAAAATGGCAAGGTGTGCTTGGGATGCGCACAGAGCGCACCAGGGGAGGCCCCCATGCAGCCTCCACAGTGTCAAGTGCAGCAGAAAAAAAATTAGACTAACTCAAGTGAAGTTCGACCCCAAATTCAGGAAATGCCGCGATTCTATGTCAAGTATTTACTTGGTGCATGCACCTTTAAAACATTTAAACAGTCAAAGTCAATCAATGAAAAGAAATTCAAGGTTTTCTAATAAATCTGTTGGGAGTGTCGTTGAAATTCATATTCAGGTTTCGAGTGATAAATAAATAAAGGTGGGATCACATCATGAGTTTGTTCAAAGTCAAAATCTGATCCAGTCCTGGATATGAAGCAAAAATTGATCATTTTGTCCTTGATTTATAATGGAGTAATGAAGTCAATAGCATGCCAGTTAAAAAAAAATGTGGCTGTGAACAGGTTGAAAAAAAAAATGTCTAAAATGGTTGGCCAAATTCTTGATCTGAGTCTGTATGATAAAAGATATTTGTAATGTTTGCTTTGGTTATTCAGAAACTCAAGACTTTTATATCTGTTCACAAGTCATGTAAAGAAAAACATAGTTCAGATTTGGATATCGTGGATGAATTTAAAAATGTGGATCTTTAGCTATATGATCACCAAATGTATACATTTGCATTTGGATTGTCAAGAAACAACAACAATGAAATCCATCTCATTTGATTATACCAAAATTGCACACCACATTTAATGAAAAATTGGCTTGATTTTTTTTTTTTTAATGTCTACATATTGAAGCCAACATAGAATGTGTGTGTGTGTGTCTGTGTGTGTGTGTGTGTAAAACAGAACCAAATACCTGATTTGGATGTTAATCAAAAGCAATCACTGTTTCATGTTGCTATGAATGCTATGTTCATATTTGACCTAATTTTGGATCTGCATGACCATTTAAAGTTACTCGCTTTGTCCTCTGCTTGGATGTAAAATGATCGTCATTGTAAAGCATACATTTTCGAATTTGTCCTTAAAAAAGCGTGGATCTAGATCCTGAACCAAATTCCTGATTCTAATGATAATAAATACCAAGTTCGTTCATGTTATACCGATAATAAAAATCATTCTTAATCTAAATCAGTTTTTGAGTGTATTATGATCATAAATGTTTTCTTCACATGGCAGCCAAAGTTTGCATTTCGATATGGATTTCTGATCCAAATGCAGAAACCAACAGTGAAACAACTTCTCCATTTGTTACCAGGGAAGCAACACGCTCAATGTCACCTACATAAAACATAACCCCCCTCCGTTGGCAGGCCGGTAATAAGAAACAGTAGCTGTTATTTGTATGCTTTGTACGCATATCCTACAAATGACTGACTGTGATAATGCACTTCAGCACGGAGAACACAAAATACAACACACAAACAAAGCCTTGTTTCATGCACTCGAGAGAAAAGATGTGCTGTCGGGCGAAGCTCATTAACGATGAGTTAGGTCAGAGCCAAATAAATGGCAAAGACCTTATCGAGGAGAGCTGAAGATTTCTTACCTGCTCGCTTTTCTATTAGCTTGCTTCGGCCTCCGGCGTGCAAATTGCCCAGTTTGCTTCGATCCCGATTGTCACAGACGTCGCCGGTGGATGCGCTGTTGTCGTTCATACACATGCTGGCCCACGCAGAACAAACATAATCATCACCATCACCATCATCATTATCATCATCATTATCATCTGATGGGGCTGAGAGTGACCCAGTGAGGGAAGCAGATCAGTGACGGTAAGACACAAGCAATGCATGCTGACTAAATGGATGTGATCAATATATCTATCTATCTATCTATCTATCTATCTATCTATCTATCTATCTATCTATCTATCTATCTATCTATCTATCCGCTAATTAATTCGTTAATCAAGCTCCTTGTTTTAAAGTGGTTAGCTGTGTTAATCTAGTTTATAGCTATTTCTCAATATCAAGAAGGCAGAGTGTGATTTTGTGAACTCGGTGAGTACAATCTTGGTAAGACGTACATCCTAAAAACGCTAGCCTCTTTTTAATTGGAACGGTTGTGTACTTGTGATCTTGTTTACTTAGTTCATGACAAAATTCCATAATTGGTCAGTTATGTCACATGACTAGATTTGAATTAAAAAAAAAAATACAAACGCGAGTCCTGTCTTTTCCTGTTGAATTAGTCATTTTGGAAGCAGCATGAAATACATCTTGAGATATTTCCCCAGACAAGTCTATATAAGGCGCCAACCAATCATCCTTGGTTTAAAACAGTATACAGGAATAAAATCCGGGTATTCCACACATTCTTTCAATTGGAACAGGACTTGGGCCATGACTGATGACGTTCACAGGATCACAAGAATGTAAGAACGGACAAGAATGAGAAAAGGCTAATGCTTTGCTTTACATTAGCTTGTCCTGGTTACGTCAAGTTTCTCTTGTCCGTTCATGTTTTGCTTGTGTTAGCCTAGCTTAATTCATATTAACTTAGTGTAGCTTAGTGCAAGAGTGGCGATCCTGTGCTTTCCAAACAAGAGTGGCGATCCTGTGCTTTCCAACCACTCGCGCACCTACTCGAGCTTCAAACCCGTCCCACCACCACGTCACGGCTTGCAAGTCAAGCGTGCTGACGGCGAAGCTAAAAACCGTGCAGACTTGAAGGCCGAGAGAAGTGAGGTTTCACTCATGTACACTCGCACAGCGTGAGTTGCTACATTAGCTATCTTTGACGCTTATCTTGTCTTGATGATGTCGTACTTTTTGCCAATAGCACATACGCCAGAAGCGTTTGAACTAGACTAGATGAAGGAATCAGAAATGTCAGCAGACTGAGAATTTTCTCCGAGAGTTAACATCATATTATCTTTAAGTCCGGGTGCTCAGTCTTACCTGTTATCATTGATGTCTGTGGTGTTTCCTGTGGGCACAGAGACATGTGAGGGGATGATGCAGGCTCATGCACAGTGAGCAGCAGTGTCACATGCAACATACTTGAACGAGTGGATTACACAGAATACTGGTGGCTGCAACACATCTGTTTTAGGCCGTGAGGAGTTTAGAATGTAAAAGACTAAACATAAAATTCGTAAACGTGCGTTCGGTCCTAACCCCATCCACCAAGATGACCACAATCGCCCCGACAGGACGGTGTTCAGAAGAGACTACCTCCACTGTTTGGAAGTACCGATAGAAAGAGCAGAAAGAACTCAATTTAACTGAACATTAGTGACATCGCCTTGGGCATACTGTTCATGATAACAGCAATCTGGCTGAGGAGTATTGGACATCCCAGAGCAGTTTGTGAGCAGCAAATTACGCTATTACGCATGTGGATGGTTATTCGTGCGACAGTGACCGATTCCAAATTGACTAGCGTTTCCTCCTGGTAGTAGACCAGCACAAGCACAGGTTGGCTGACTTGCTACATCATCAGCCTGAAGAGTGGGAAAACCATTCCGCAGCAGCGTGACTCGCAAAAAAGAGGTATTTGACTTGTGTGGCTCTGCGCGATTCTTCTCCTCATGTTACACTAATGAAAACAACTCCGGTGGTTGACTTGTTATGACAGCTGGTTGAGGGAATGGAAGGCCAACTAACATCACTTTGTGAGCAATACGAGGTTCCAAGGCTTTTGTGGCTACGTATGTCTCTGTGTCATGCTAATCAAGGCTCTTTAAAATGAAAACCTGTCGGATAAGCTTGGACATGCCGTTGGTGCAATTGTCACTGACACAACCACCTTGACCGACGATTCTTGATTGAGGAGTGGAATGACATCCCATAACAGTGTGTGACCAGTATGATGTGCCAGGCTTTGGTGACTGTGAATGGTTCGTCTTCATGCTATTGAAATTCTTGAACTGAAAATGACAACTTGGCCATATTGTTGGCGCTGTGATGACTGATGAAAGAGTGGAAGCTCACTCCGCAGCAGTGTGTCAGCAGGCTTGTGACTATAAACGAATAAAGCATTGATGGACAACAAACAGTATATTTTATAAGTGCAGCATTTACTTTTCTGGACTGATTGAGGCAAAGGGATATTAGTTTTATATTGAGGCGGCAGTTAGCCCACAGCTAATATCGTGCTTTTGTTCCTATTACATGATGTTCCCCGACACTACAGTAAGATAACTTGGCACTTATTGCTTTTTTATCTGCGTTCTTTTTTTTTTTTTTAGATCATCCAAACTTTTAGAGGTCATTTGTCATTTTCCACTTTTGCACAAAAGTTTGCTGGCAATTTTCTTCTGAAATCGCAGCGGCCACTCAATCGAATCTGTGTCATATTGCTTCTTATTAACTAAACAGAGAAGCGCTCTCGAGGCATTGTGGCTTCAGTCTGTGGAGAACAATTCGGTCAATTCAATTAAGCGGGTGCTTGCAGGAAAGGTAGTAATTGAATTGCTGCCTCATCTTGGGCCCCTGAACTGCTCAGGTGGGGGAAATCATCACCATTTGGACTTCACATGGGCTCGAAAAGGAAATTTGCGCTTTATTAGGTGTAAGAGCACAGGCAGATTATATCCCAGTTAGCTTTGTTTTTCAAAGATGATAATGTTCAGTTTGGATAGATAAAACATTGACACCGGTGATTTAAGTATTTCAACCCTCTCATGTAGCTAAAAAGGTGACCGTAATATTATTGTCCGCAATGTTGTGGGGACAATAATAGACTGGCTGATTGTTATTCATTGTGTGGAGCCGTCGTAAATTTCCTGGCACTTTACACAAATGTAATGACATGGCTATTGTCTGGGAACCTCACGGGTGTCCAGATTGTGAGACCGTCTTGGCTTATGTCGTTTGTCGGGAAAATATATGGCAGATAAGATGAAGCTGTAACACCCACCAGGAATCTTCATTTCATGAAATGTACCAAAAGAGCACTTTGGAGGTACACCGCATTCCCAGCTTTTACTGCTCTTATTGAAATTCATGGCACACCAGTCCAAATATATGCATCAGAGGGAGTGGAAAAAACCAGGACACTGCACCACAGCTACTTTAGAAATGGCGTCCAAAAATGTGATATTTACAACGATGTTAATACTCAGTTTTTATGGATGCTGTCAGGGAGGTATTAATTTAAATTATAGTGGCACATCTATATCATTTCAAGTTTCAAAAAAATATTGCCCGCTTTGGGGCATTCAATTCGTAGGTTTGCTGTTGCGGCTGTACTATACGTTCAGAATGCACTGCCTTACACCGTGGGCTATTTCTAATAGGCTAGCTACAGGAAAGACGCAGCATGGCTCATTGGTAGAGTGGTCGTTTCCCAACCCAGTGATTGGTGGTTTGACCTTTCTGACCATGTCGAAGTGACCTTGAGCAAGATACCCCCCCCCCCCCCCCCGAGTTGCTCCTGATGCTGCATGTCACAGTGTGAAGCGCTTTGAGGTAGAAAAGCGCTTATACAAGTGATAGAGAAATCTATGGGCAAAATTATATCATGTTTAAAGTTTCATTTAATTTGGGCATGTCTCGACGTTTGGGTGCATATTCAGCGCCCCCAAATGCCTGTGCGCAATGGTGTCGGCCGTTTGGGCGGAGGGCTTTTTGAAGTCCACAGTAATCACGCTAAAGCAAGGGGGGGGGGGGCGAACAGATGCAAGAAGGCTAGACTCGGTCACAAAGTGGGAATAAACAATTTAGGAACGTAGCGTTGCAGAACATCAAAAGACGGTTTGGGAACGGCTGTCGCGCCCAGGCGGACATTTGTCATCTGCGAAGTCTACGACTTGCTTATTCGTTGTAGACCAGACTGGGAGGTGTCAGCGTATCTGTGGTTCAAAGCTTAAAACAAGGCAATCAGACCACTACCGAGGGGCCGGACTGGAGCGTGGTATGCAAATATCGGGGGCAGTGTTTTTCTTGTATTTTGCATATGTAAATAATAAAAGTCCGACAGTAGCACAAGGATCTCTAAGTGTGATCACGAAGCAACTGGCCATCGTTCACTCTTAGAGATCCGCTTCCGCCGATCAGAAAGACAATCTTCCCTGGGTGTCGAGTCATTTGTTTAACTTTGTCCGGGTAAAAAACTCTGACGAGTGACAGCCCATTTACCAAAATCCAGTTGCAGCTTTCCAGCTTTGCTTCAATTTTGACAGTTACCGAGTAACTGCCATCATTTCTTCCGAGTCTGACATGGACCTACACAGCCAGCCTTATCTGCCTCGCCCAGAGAGCTTTATCAAGCTCATATCATGGACGTCATCCACGGAATGTGTCTGGGTGACATGCATGCATGATGCGAAAGTATGGAGTCAACCACATTAGTCACAGCAACGAAGGCCAAAAAGGAAAAAAAAAACAAAAACGAGGCGACGTTGCTGGGAAGAAATTCCTAAGTGAGATCCCCTCCCTCCACTGACAGATAGGAGACGTCTTATTATCTCAATGGGCTCTGTGAGGTGGAAGCTCACCGTTTTCTGAATCGAGCATCTCGGCGGTGTTGGCTTGGCTCGGCGGAGGCCTGCAAAAAGCAAACGGAGGAGGGCTTAAGATAAGCAATTAAAAGATTTGATTCGTGCGTCAGCAGAACACCAAACAGCAGGGATGTAATGGTTGACCAAAAGTCACGCTTCACGTTTTGCACAGTCAGGTACGCTGCAACAGCTGATATCTTTGTGCAGCATCGATCGGAAATGAATGAATGCTATAGAGACAATGAACACGTTAGTTATTGCTCTGGCTCCATTTCAAGCGCCCGTGAGAGGCTGTTGAAAGGCTATCGGAAGTTGCTTTAATTAATGCTAGGCTCGTTATGTGTCAAACTGATATTCGTGTTCGTGGGATGCCGTTTCAAATGTGTTCACAAGTCTGACGAACTGCCAAAAGCGAATCATGACGTCCACTACCCAGAGGATGAGATGCGGCGTGTCTGTCTCGTGTGAGACAGCCACACTTCCTGTCCTTTTACTCAATTTTACTAAATATTCCACATGCGCCGTTACACAACAAACACAACGAGCGACTCACATATTCTGAGTGTTGTTTTGGTGGTCTAAGCGTCCGGCGGGTTGATTCTGGTTCGTTTCAGAGTCAGAGCGATTGCTTTCCAGTGCCGGGGCGGGAGCTTGTGGAGCTGGCGGGTTGCTGCAAGGAGCATCGTCACTCAATGAAATCGGGTGCTCGCTGAGGCCTCGGGTGAAGATGGCGTGCGTGGGAAAGGGGTGGCCAGGACGCACAGGCTTGGCTGTTCAAGATGGAAATTCATTAAAAAAATAAAAATAAAAAAATCAATCACCATCAATATAATAAACACAGCACCTCATTAGTGTGTCATCCACTTCGACAAATAAATGCCTTACCTCAAATACACAGAGACGTAGTCCCTTTGCTATAGCCCAAGCTACCTAAACTGCGGTGGTGGTCAACAAAATATGATTGCTTGATTTGAAATCGAAAAAGCACGTGTTCATGGGTGGCTGCGTTGTCAGACCGCCAGTGGTTTGTAGGAAATAAAATACGTGATGGATAACATCTTAAAATAAACAACAACACTCAAGTCCATCTTTGAAGAGTCGTGGAAAAAAAAGCAATTTTGAGTTTTGGCCGCCTTTCCCTTGAAAATCTTATTAAAAGTCAGAACACGAAGAGACAGAGTAACTAGGGTCACGCGTGCGCGCGCACACACACGCACACACACACACACACACACACACATCGCAGCAGGAACTCGTGAGAGCTTTCTCACGGTGCAATTCAGGAGCAATTATCAGCTGTGAGGGTGATGAAACACACAGACAGCAGGCGTCACATGTGAAAAGTTGATAATTACTTGTCCTCGTTTATGTTCTATTATAATCTATATAGCAATTAGATGAAGCTCTCTGCATCCCTTTAAAAAAATATTTTTATGTGTATATTTACACTACGAAGTGCCTCTTACTATAGCTTAACATCTTTAAGCTCCGTTGAGGCAGGACTACGCATTTTTCAGCAACCAATTAATTAGGCTTTATGTGCTCAGAGTTTTTGGTGCAATCAGTTTTGGGGAAAAAAATGATACTCGATCACCGATTTGATCAGAAAATGGAGCAATATATCTATTTAAAACACTTATATATTTACTCGGGCGGCCCGGTGGTCCAGTGGTTAGCACGTCGACCTCACAGTGTAGCGGGTTCAATTCCATCTCTGGCCTCCCTGTGTGGAGTTTGCATGTTCTCCCCGGGCCTGCGTGGGTTTTCTCCGGGTACTCCGGTTTCCTCCCACATTCCAAAAACATGCATGGCAGGCTGATTGAACACTCAAAATTGTCCCTAGGTGTGAGTGTCAGCCCGGTTGGTTGTTTGTCTCTATGTGCCCTGTGATTGGCTGGCAACCAGTTCAGGGTGTCCTCCGCCTACTGCCCGAAGACAGCTGGGATCGGCTCCAGCACCCCCCGCGACCCTTGTGAGGATAAGCGGATCGGAAAATGGGTGGATGGTATCTTTACTCTCCATTCGACCCCAGCCATAGTGAAAATCCAAGAAAGTTCCCGTCCTAAAGCGTAAAGTGGCGCCGTACCTATATGTGCGGCATGTGGCCGGCGGAAGGGATTCCTGGCCCTCATCATGACGTCCTTGATGCGCTCCACCTCCTGCTGGTAGCATTGCCGGTCCTTCATTGCTCCATCTTTGGCCTCCTTCAGGGCACCCTCCAATGCCTTGACTCGCTCGGCAGTGGACCGAAGACGCTTCTCCAGCTTCGGGAGCTCACAACGGAGGTCCGCATTGTCACGTACTAACTGCAAAACACAAGGGAAAAAATACTCTGAATTAAGTATCATATTTTCCACACTATAAGGCGCACCTAAAGCATTCAATTTTCTCAAAAGTCGATGGTGTGCCTTATAATCCGGTGGACCTTATATACAGATCAATATTCTGAATTCTTGGACGTAGTATTTCATATGTTCTGTAAAGTGTGTTGTTTCTGCTGCAGCGGTTGTGAAAGCTCTATACAGTATATATAAAGCTGTATTCTATTGTATTGTATTGTATTCCCTTTCGTGTAGCTCCATCTAGTGGCTGCATAACACAACCTCAGCCACTATTGCAGCTTCTATTTTATGCGCCTTCAAATGCGATGTGCACTATATATGAAAACAGTTTTAAAATAGGCCATTCATTGAAGATGCGCCTTATAGTCCGAAGCGCCTTACTTTACCCACCCCACTACCCTTACGATATTTTTCTTTATAAATTACATTATTGTGGAGTAGACTGTTATTATTCTTATTAGAAACATTTTTGTTTGTGTTTTGGGAAGGCCTGGAGTAAATGGGGGATTTGTACAAGTCATTGCACTTATGGTATATGACCGACAGTATAAATTTGGGAAATCCTCTTTGGAGCCACGGTGGAGTGCATGTGTGCCGTGTTGTGAGTTTGTATCGTGTGAAAGAGGTTTGCAGCTTTGGTGTAACTGCAGTGCACAGACCTCTAACGCTTAGTCGTGGAGTCTGTTGATTTATGACCACTGAGTTTGCGCTCAACTCCTCCAGCATCAGCAAGGAGGCAAGCCACAGTATGATTAGATCACTGCAGCAGTCATTACGAACAACAATGGCCTCAAGTCCACTACATTTGTTTACTTCAGCCATACTGGAAGTTGTACAATTTGGAATGTCACCGAGCCATAACCGGTACACGAAAACGTGCTTTTTCATTGCCCGTTTTTTTTTTCATAGACACATATTAGAAAATGAGAAGCAGTCTCAAAAATGGAGGTTAAGGTCATTTGTTGTTTCGTTGTTGTTACATTAAACCGTGAACATACTAAGTGTCCTGACAGTGACATTATGTCCTTCATGAAGGTTTATGGAAGGGAGTAGCCTGAGGGTGAAACGGATTCGTCCCCTTATTTCCACAGAGAAGAAATTGTCTCCAGCCATGTTTGTGTGTGCCTGCATGATGATGATGAATTCATTTGCGGTCACTAAAATCCAAGCAACTAATTTCTGCTGTGCCGCTCGGTTTCCCCGAAGGCACCTTGCTACTGCTGTTTTTTTTAAATTTTATTTTAGTTTTTAATGAATTTATTTATTTAATTTCCCAAGGAGATGCTTGTGTGGAGTCGCTGCGCATGGGTGATTAATGATCCTGAGAGATGCTTTCACCCGGAGGAGAACGACAGCATCGCACACTGCACACCGCGCTAACTTTTCATTAATTTGCTTTGCTAGTTCTTTTTTTTTTTTTTTTTTGCTTGCCTTCCAAAGAAGTAATTTCTGGCTTGGTTGCAATACAAACGGTACACAAATGTTTCATTTTGAACAGATGTCAGCGAATGACTTTGTTAGTCTGCCTTCTTTTGCTGTTAGGTGTTGCTCGGTGTGCGTCGGTTGAGCTTACCTGCTTGTGGACCTTCGTCAGCTGGTCAAGGTTATTCTCCAGAAAGGAAATCTTTTGCTTCTGGGTGATGTACCCGCTGCTGCCATCACGCTCCATCTCTGCACTCTGGCAGTGAAAACAGCAACATGAGGCTTCATATTCAGTGTACAGGGCTGCGCCAAAAGGAGGTGGGCATCCAATTTCGAATGGTTTCATTTGAATGCAGTGACCAGTAAACATTTATTGCAATCGGTTACTCCATAAGTTTTAATCGGGAGCGTCAAGCCAGGGTTAGGGGTTCAAAATTGGGTTTCAAACCCAGGTTAGGGGTTGTAGTTTGTGTTTTGATTCATGGTTTCAAGACGGATTTAAAGTTTTAAACAAGGGATACGGATTCAAAATTGGGTTTCATGGCCAGTCACAGGGTTTGAAGTCCAAACGTAGGTTTTTCTTTGTGTGTTTAGCATGATCGAGACTCTAAAAGCCCCTCCCGGATGACCAAGCTTCTCACCGTATCTTTAAGGGAGAGCCCGGACACCCTGCGGAGAAAACTCATTTCGGCCGCTTGTATCCGGGATCTCGTTCTTTCGGTCACGACCCATAGCCCTTTTTCCCATCCTGCCATTCTTCCCACGTTCCTTTTAGCCTTATTTCTGTCCTTCTTACCTTTTACTCCATCCTCGTTAACTCCATTCCTTTTTTGTATCCATCCTGTATTCCTAATTTTCACCTTTCCTCCCTCCCTCCCTCATATCATCTTTTCATCCTCTCTACCGGAAAACAGGAAAGGAAACGCCCAAAGGAAAGTATCTGGCATGTAAATGATTAACTCCACAAGCAACTTGGAACAGGAAATCGAAGTTACTGTGACAAAGGAAAGCTTCTGAGCCATACAATTAACAACATTTGAATTGTGTGGCTTACCTTTCTAACGCGATTGGTGAGGTCTTGGACAAAAAACTTGCGCAGATTGTGGAGGGTGCGCAGCTCGCGGGCCTGCAACAGAAGCAGGGGTGAAGCGCAATTGGCAGCATATGGTCAGTCCGCGGACACCGGAAGTGATCCGAGTAGCGACCTACCACCGTCTCTTCCAGGCCCTTGAGGTCCTGCTTGGACTGCTCATGTCTCTCGTGGAGAAATCTAAAGGTTGCCAGGAAAAAGGAGAATTCACAGTCAACTTCCATTCGACTTAGAGTGTGAGCTTGACTGGGCCTTTTTTTTTTTTTTTTTTTTAAAGAAATGAACAAATCTGACAGGTGATGCAATGTGATGCAAAGGTCAGCGCGAAGCCTATTTGGCAGCTGTGAAACGGATGGGGAAAATCCCAGACTTCACAGAGATGCAATATTAATATAGATGATCGATTGCATCAGTGTGTCTGGAACACCAGCCGGTTCATTAGGTACACAAGACATGTCCAACACAAAGGCTGTGTCAAACTTAATGTCCATACAAGCGCTGGATCATAATGAACAGCTGTTTTTACTAGACTGGATGCATGGATGGATGGACGGATGGATAATAGCTGGATGATACAGTTGATTATTGGACAAACAGATGGACGGAGTGACAGATGAACGAACGATAGAAGGGTGACTGATAGATTATAGCATAGAGATAGATAGATGGATCATCTCGTGGCAACTATGTGGCATAAGATTACACAATGAAAGCGTTTTTCCGTCAAATTAAGATTTTCTTACAGTCTCACAACATGCAGTTTTCTGCAAATGATGACAGCCGTTAAATGGGG